CACACACACACACACACACACACACACACACACACACACACACACACGTGTGCGCACACACCATCCCATCAGTCAGAATCAAAGTCTTCAAATTCCCAAGTAACTTTCCTCAGGTCATTCTTTAAATTTAACAAGACGAAATACATCCCGAAATCTGCTGACTCATGCCTTCCCAGGTTTTATAGTTCAAATCTGTTTCTCTTAAAAGGTTATGACAGGCCCTGACCAGTTTGGCTCAGTGGATAGAGCATCGGCCTGCGGACTGCAGGGTCCCGGGTTCGATTCTGGTCGGGGGCATGTGCCTTGGCTGTGGGCACGTCCCCAGTGGGGGGTGTGCAGGAGGCAGCTGATCGATGTTTCTGACTCTCTGTCCCTCTCCCTTCGGGATCAGTGAAATATATTTTTTAAAAAAAGGTTATGACAGCCCTAGCTGGTTTGGCTCAGTGGATAGAGTGATGGCCTGCGGACTGAAGGGTCCTGGGTTCGATTCCGGTCAAGGGCACATGCCTGGGTTGCAGGCTTAATCCCCAGTAGGGGGCGAGCAGGAGGCAGCCGATCAATGATTCTCTCTCATCATTGATGTTTCTATCTCTCTCTCCCTCTTTCTTCCTCCATGAAATCAATTAAAAAAAAAAGGTTATGACAGAATTTTCCAGCTTGACACTGTAGCCTGTGAAATCCTTATAGGTTTACCTAATGGTGTGGAAGCCCAAGATGGAAGATTCTGTCAGTGGCTACAGTCATGTGCCACATAATGATGTTTCGGTCAGTGACCGAGTGCATGTATGAGGTGGTCTCATAAGATTACAATGGAGCTGAAACATTCCTATCGCCTAGTGACTTCATAGCCACCGTCATGTCATAGTGCAACGAAGTACTCACATGTTTGTGGTGATGCCGATGTAAACAAGCCTACTGTGGTGCCAGTGGTAAGACTGAGACAGAGGAAAACACAGCAGAACCTCCCAGGTCCTGTGGGCTAGAGAGCCACCTGGAAGAGGTGGAGGCCTAACACCCCCAGCCAAGGCCAGAACTGCACCACAATTATCCTTCTAGGTCAGTGGTTCTCAACCTTCCTTATGCCACGACCCTTTAATACAGTTCCTCATGTTGTGGTGACCCCCAA